GGTCATTAGTTATATGTGGGAAAGTCAAATGCAAGTTGCTAAGACTTTCCAAAACACCTCAGGTTGTAATCTAATGCTTTTCATATTAATTCAGTGACATCCCCCAGAATTAAATGATTCTTCCTAATACATTTGCATTGGAGCGGTCCGTGAAGGAACAGATCACCGTTCCTTTCCTACTGCCCCTTGAGAGCAGGATATAATCCATTGCCTTTTTATGCTGGATACAGGATTCTTTAAAAATCTTCCCAGTATAGAAGCCCAGCTTAGGATTCTTTGCTGGGTGGAGGGAAACAGGCTATTCTTTTTTCCAGTCCAGCACAGAAATGCAGTCAGTGGCCCACAAAGAAAAAAAAAATCTCCTTATACCTTCACACCATGGAGGACAAGCAGGGTGACAGAAAGAACAAGATATTTCTCTATGTTTTCTCTAGCTAGCAGGAAAGGGGAGAAATTACTGATATATTGCATTCAAAGATATCTAATTTCACTTTTTTAACCAATACGCACAATCCAATTTTGTAATGCAATTTCTTATTATTTTAAAAAGTACATTAGAAAAAAATCTCCAATAAAATGTATATATTCATGAAAGCAGTGTACAACATGCCTTATATTGTGAAAATCATTTATGTTAGAGAAAAGTGCACATGTTTAGAGAAATGTGCATCAAAATACACAAGAATTCCCAAGTTCAATGAACTGAACTTGAAATGAAGCTGAGAAGGACCAAACTGAACATATTTGCAAAAATGTGAATCTGAAAGAAACATTGATGGAATTGCCCATTCCTATGGCAGCTTGCCTACATTCTAGCCAGAACCAGATTTTAGACAGAATCAGGCAATAATTTGACATGGCAGATGCTCAGTGGAAGTGGCTTTGTTGTTCCTCCTGAGTTGCCAAGCCATTTCCTTCTGTGACAGGACAGCTCAGAGTTCACATGGCTCATTTTCATTCTTTAAATTGGCCTGCTGACATTAGACATGGTAAAGGATGCTATTCCATCACCAAGATTGAAGTAAATCAGTCAAGGCTCCTTCTACATGAGGAATGAGAGTAGAAGATTGTGAGGGCAAGGTGTCGGAGGAGGAGCAAAGCTAGGCAGGAAGAGCTATAAGTTAGATCCAGCCAACAGTTTATCAATTCTCCTGTCCTGTACCACCCTCTATCCACTTCCATATCATGTATCCTTTGCCTTCATGAGACATTTGTCAATCCTACAACACCTCCCAACAGAGCCCCATCGGACAAAGAGAATGTGAAACTCATTTCTGTTAAGACAACTTCTCCAGACTCAGGTAAGTCATGTTTATTTGTCACTAGATAGGTTGGGAAGTAAGACCAGCCTTTTAAACATTCAGTCAGATTTAAACAAAATATCAGGGCTATATTTAGAACAGATAATAGGGCTATGCTTGCTTGAAAAAGATCAGAATCTTGTATGAGCCCAGCACATGTCTGTTATTCATTAAATCAACCCAACTGGTTTCAGGCTTCTGCATGAGTGTGGAATAAAAGATGCCACTGCTTTGAGAAGCCAGATCCTTAATGTTAATGGGAAGGAGACATAGCCTTTTTTAAGGCTCTTGCAGAAACCTGAAATAAGTTGGGCTGCTTTCATGAATAGCAGATAGATGCTCTGCTCACATAAAGCCTGACTCACTTCTTCCAATTCTTCACATAATGCACAGCCCTAACAGACAATCTGTTAAGACCAATATCAACCACACTGAAGAGGAAAGCTTCTCTGGATGAAAAATGCATGAACAAAATTATAGGAAAAGAACATTGCTTTGGCTGTTTGTTCAGAATACTTGGTTTCCCCTTTTGGATATGATTATGCCTTTCACATAAGTTTTAGCCATTTTCTTGAAAACAGCACATCTGTGGACCAAAAGAAATGGCTGGAACCTTCTCCTAATCCATTTATGTCATAAATTGTTTGTTATTAGAGATCTTTCACTTATAAATAAGCCCTGATTTTAAAAAATAAAACAGGACTTGAGAAAACACAGTTTGAAAACCACAACTATGAAATTATCAGACTGTTCCCCTTAGCCTAAAGTTTTCAGACTTGGAATAACAGAAGAATAACATTGACAAGGTTTTTTAAAATTAATAAATGGAAAAGAGAGCTTTCGGTGCCTCAGAAGACTCCTGACTATAAGTTTTTCTTCTGTTGAGCAAATGCTCAATAAACTCATTACTGAACTGTGTTGTATGCATACTATATTTGGAAGACATCTGAGTCATTGGCATTTTAGGAACATTATTTTTTTTCTCTTCCCTCTCATCCAGTTAATTTGATTCATATTTAATACACTTTTTGCAGTTGGCTTTTCAAAATTTTAATGCATTTTCAGTTCACACATTTCCATAAGCATAAAATCCACTTTGCCCTTTCTGGTCTTGTGAAATATTCAACTTTTCTATAAAAGGGCTTAAAAGTAAAAATTCTCCAGCCTCCAAGTCTCCCCTGAGAGATTTCTTTCTTATACATGTAATCACATTTACCTTTATCCACGTTTTCTGAAGAAAATGAAGCTCCCTCCTTCAGATGTCAAAACAGACCATCCAGGGAACAGCCGTTTTATAAAACGGAAATGCAAGAAAGATGGGCAGCAAAATTATAGTCCAGTGGGATCCAATGTGAATGCAACAGTAAAATAAGACTGTTTAACCATAGCTAAGGATTATGACTGCACTGA